TTTATCAGCGTGTCGGCCTGTCAAAAGCTGGTCGGTCTGGTCTGCTGTCGACAATGGCGTCGTTCTTTGTCAGCGCTTTATGGCATGTAAGTTGTGTGTCGTTTAATGTCAAACAATGTAGTGAAAAGCTTACGATCAGTTTCATCACAACAGGGACTGTCACCAGGCTACTACCTCTTTTTTTTATCAGGCGGTATTTACATCGAAGTTGGCAAACGTGAGATAGACTTTTTTATTCTTACTATCAATGACGTGCAAACCGTACTCACGTGCTGCCTTTTGTTTAGACCTCCGTCGTCGCCTTCGATCATACTTTCACTACACTGAAGTTCGTACAGCTCATCCGCATGCTATTTTCCTTTCGTACTTTGACGGAAATTCTCATCCGATGGCATTCTTGTACGACATATCGGGCGTGTTCTTCACGTGGGTTGCGATGCAGTACGCTGGTATTGCGTTTGAAATTTTAGACGTGCGTCGTTGCCTTGCCATCTGGAGCTCGTGGCACTTCCTTCCACATGTTGTAAGCGTCAGCCTCCTGCTTTACTTTAACCTTTTTCCTCAGCGATACAACATCAACAAAAACCAAAAGACAAACTAAAACGAATTAATCCAAGCAAGCACCAATTGTCTGGTGAATCAATACATTTCTGCTCTGGTATTTGTTTGTGTTCATAATTAGCCTCGGAGACGTGAGCAGGTGCCAAGATTAATATAGATGGCAGATTAGAGATTTCGACCATCTTCAGCGGTTTCCTGGTTACCAGACGTACACGAGCTAAACCTTTTTACCGCATCGGCTTAGTCCGTCGTCAATGTGGTGAAGCCAACTCTTGTCTGCCCAGCCTACCGATAGTTTAGAATTGGCGTGGGTAAATCTTATTTAGCTAGGCGTATGCACTGGGACTTGTTCGTTCAATATGCCTGGAGCTCGACATCATCGTCGCATGGCAAACCCGCCAAGAAAAGGGCTTACACTTTGGAGCGCATTAAAGAGGAAATTTCCTGCATATATTGGCAAACGAAGACGTCACACACGGCGACCGTTGAAACCGCGTTTTTTTATCGATCCCGAGGCTCCAGCGAAGAGAACGTGGGACTTGCTGCTTAGTCTACTCGTACTTTATACCACGCTTGTCGTGCCTTATCGAGTCTGTTTTCAAGTCGAAGCAGGAGGATTCTTTGCACAACTGGAAACGGCGATGGATGTGGCTTTCTTTGTTGACATCGCCTTGAATTTTATCACTGGTCTTCAATTACCCTCTGGAGAAATAACATATACACTTCGCGTGATTGTAAAATCATATTTACGTGGTTGGTTTATTGTGGATTTTGTTTCGACGCTCCCGTTCGAGTCTCTTGCAAAACTTTTCGGCGTCAGCAATAGTACACATGCTGCTCTCTTGTCGACAAAGCTGCTGCGAGGTTTAAAAGTGCTGCGATTATTTAAGCTAGCACGGATACGTCGACTGCGAAAAGTTTTCGCAAACTTAGAGGACGCTGTTTACACAAATCAAAGTCTGATATCGCTTGTCAAGTTAGCGCTAACAATGCTATTCATTGCCCACTTGGTGGCTTGCCTCTGGTATGCTGTCGGAAGGACAGACTCAGAAAAGTCATGGTTGATTAGTATTTCGCTTGATCCTGCGGGTCCGGCTATCGATACCGAGTCGCTTCAATATGTACGATCCATGTATTGGGCTATCGTTACAATGGTAAGGTATTTAGGGCAAACTTTTCAATCTTATCTAATCAGCAAGTCTTTTTGCACGTATTTTGTGTTTCAGACGACAATAGGTTACGGCGATATTGTCGCTCATGGTAATAACGAAAGATTGCTTAATATCGCCGTAATGGCCGTCGGTGTGTCCTTCTTTGGTTACGTGATCGGCACAATCTCAAACTTGGTTACGAATTTGGACGTTGCAGCTGCACGATACGATGAACGGATGACTGTTGTCAAAGAATATATCATTTCACGGAGTATGCCTCAATATATCAGCAACAAAATTCGTCACCATTTCGAGTATTTTTACCAAAACCGCTCAGTGTTTAAAGAGCGTCGGATTCTTGAACGGCTTCCATCTGCTCTTCGTAATGAAATGGTACGTCGTGGGATGCATTGTATGGAGCTTTTGACAGCTGACTTCGTGTTTCATTCAGATCCACCATGTGCACTCGAAAATTGTATCGAGCATCAAATATTTTGTTCAATGCCCCGAAAGCTTAATTAGCGATATCGTGATAGCAATGCGCCCGTTTGCTACACTTAAAGATGAGTATGTCTACGTCGAACACGAAATTGCAGCACATGTATTCTTTATCATCAAAGGCAAAGTTCAGCTTGTGAAAACAATTCGACGCGGGAAAGAAGATTTGCGGCTTTCGACGATGAGTGTTGGCGATCACTTTGGCGAGGTTCGTGTTTGTGCAAGCAGTTTGATTGATTTTTCTGTCGGCATTAAATTCGTTTTCTGTCTCGTATCTTGTAATAGCTTGAAGTGTACGACCGTGAACACGGCAACGGTGTACGTATCTGCTCGGCTGTAGCAAAATCCTATAGCGAGCTAACCTTTCTCTCTCGAGAAGCTATTCAAAAAATTAGTAGGTACATATTGTCTATCTGAATTGTGCGAGTTTCTTACAGTGATTTTAGGTGTAAGTTGGCCAGAAGTGATCAAACACTTCCGTGAAACTGCAGCAATCAGCGCTAATAGTATCTGGCAACGCGCGGATCCTTCAGATTTTAGTTCCAGGAAAAAGCCCGTTCTGCACACTCTTGCTTTAAAAAAAGGTATTGACATTTTTCCAGATACGGTAATGAAGACATCTATCATGAATCGAAAGGTGACTCCAAGTGAAATGGGTCGCGTCGTTCCCTATTTACCTTCCCATAGGACTGATTCGCCGGAATCGAGACCAGAGACTATATTAGAGGAGGGTAGTGAATATGGTGTTCAGCAGCCAGCCACGTCGACACCTCTGGTCTACCATTCAGCAATTGTGCATCCAGAGTTGCCGAGCGAGCAGAGCAATAATGCGTGGCTAGCCTCTTCTGAACCAAGAGAATCGCCATCGATTCACGGTGTGAGTTCTCTTACCAGGCCAGTAACTTCTGCTATGCAAGGCCGCAGAATTATTCTTGAGGCATTACCTCAAGCATCGTTGGTAGAAGCAAAGAAAAAGAATAGCAGCTCAGTGTTCGATTCTATACACACATTAGACCCAGACAGTGATGTCAAAGAAGAAATCTCAAACACGCTCGGAAGTGAAATTCGTCACCATGATGGGCACCAATTTGACTTATTTAAGCAGCGGTATGCTACAACTAAAGAAAGTTACAGTCTAAATGAAACTGAGCCAACGGCAGCAATACAGGTCATGCAAATACAAGATGAAAATAAGGCCAGGCCTGAGCAATCGGCAATTCAAACCACTGACCATGAAATTCCGATCGAAGGACGCCCATTTTTGGCTGGCGCAACTGACGAACACGAACTTCATGACATGATTGTAAAGATTCGTGATTCGCCTCTTGAACAACCAAAAACAAATATCAAGTCAGAGCGTGTTTTGCTTCGAGGAACGTATTTGTTTCATCCTCAAGAGCCTTCAATTGTTTTATGGCAATTTTTTGTGGGTATTGGAATTGTGTATTCAATCATTGTCGTACCCTTCCGACTTGGGTACGATGTTGACGCAGTTGGTGGTTGGTATGTGCTTGAAATGACCATCGATGGTTTCTTTCTCGTCGACATTCTGGTTAACTTCCGTACTGCGTACTTCGACGATGAAAGAAAGCTGATTTATGAGCCACGCACTCTTTTCTGGCGGTATGCTAAAGGTTGGTTTCTTCTTGACCTCATTTCAACTGTACCGATCGACGAGCTCTTTCGGTACGTATCTAAACAACACTATCTCTCACTTTACCTGAAGTAATTTCTTTGCTGATTGATAGAGCTGTGGTTGGCACTTCTAATCAAACATTGCGTCGATTTCCCACAAAGTTATTGCGACTGTTTCGAATTGCACGGTTGCTTAAACTCACACGACTGATAAAGCTTAGTCGTGTCTTCGGGCGAATTCGGGACACTATTCAGGTAAAAAGCGGGATTAATTTTTCGCTGTAATCGAAGCGCTGATTTTGTGATGTGATTAGTTGAATCCTTCAACAGAACGACTTTTTAAACTATTGGCAATCATGTCGATCTTCTGTCACTGGAATGCGTGTATGTTTCACAGCGTCATGATGATGAGCGAATCCGCTGGATATCGCAGTTGGTGTGGCGACGCTTTTTTTCCGAGAGATCCTCAGCTTATCGACTGTGTGAGCCTTGTTCCAGTTGGGGATCGATACATTGCTGCTCTATACTGGGCGTTTACGACACTTACAACCGTTGGTTACGGCGATGTAAAGCCAAGTGTTCATTCTCCGTACGAACTGGTTGTCGTGATCATACTCGTGGTCGTCAATGCCACGGCTTTTGGGTACATCATTTCGTCTGTAATGACACTCATTCAAAATTTGGATCCAAGCGATCGCGAATATCGGCTTCTGATGACAGAGATGAAAGATTATTTGCGTGATTTGTCGGTGAGCGAACGTATGTGCATCAACGTTAAGACGGTGAGCCAAACTTGAGACTCGAATAGCACTACATTTTGAGCTTATGTCCTTTTCGCTCATAGCACTACTTGCATCACATTGCGTGTACCAGCCTATTTCCCGAACAGAAGGTGCGTAAGTTGAATTAGTAGATAGCATGATCTCTTGCAATAACTTTCAATTATTGGTGTAGCTTTTTGACAAAATGGCCCCGAGTCTGCGCTTTGATGTAGCACGTCTGGTTGCAGTCGAAAATTTATTTGCTATTCCCCTCATTACAGTGATGGAGGATGCTTTTAAGGGTTTCGTGTCGTACGCTTTATTCCTTCTAAAACCTGTTTGCATTCGGCGGGGCGAAACAGTATGTCGCTGTGGTAGTCCAGGTATCGAAACCTTCTTTGTTGTCGAGGGCGAGTGCGACCTTTTGAATTCAAGAACTAATCAAGGTCGCATTGTGGGGGAAAACACTGTCTTTGAGCAGTATGCTTTGATGGCTCAGCCTGATGAGTTGTATCGGACAGTGTCGACAGCCACAGCCATTTCAAGCAAGTGCATTCTATATTCTCTTTCTATACAAGATTTTAGGTAAGTGTCGCATTTTTAAGTGCCAAACGTTGCTTCTTACCTTTACTCGTGTAAATGTAGGGCACTCGAAAACGTTTCACCAGCAGTCAGCACGTACTTTGTGAGTCAGCTGGCGTCCGTACTTGTAGCTGATGACATGTACTCACTTCTTCCGCATCAAAAGTCAAATGTGCAATTGGCACTACTTCGTGGTCAGAATTTTCGCTCAGTGGCGGAGCAGACCCGAGGACGAGTTAAACTTAGAGATCTCGGCCGAGTAGCTATGGCGAATTTGTATAAGCGACGAGGAAGCGAGTGGTCTCCTGATTTGTTGCCAAAGCAACTTCAGTTGCTCGCGGAAAAAGAACGAACAAATAGTGAAGTGGGTGCAAGTGTCATTGACTACGCAACTGACAATCGCCAATCTGAAAATGAAAGTTCGTCTTCAACAATCGACGGGACCGAGTTAACGACACAATGTAATCTACCAGTGAAGTTCTAGAAATCCGCAATACGCAGATTTGTGGCTGTCCAAGTCATCGACTCACATTATGGCTAGCTTCAATGTATACCCTGCGTATAATGATGAGTTATTTTGCAATGACCGTAAGCAATATATCAATTTTGCATGTCACAAAATTCTGACACAATGACAACAGATGTAACACGGTCCATATCGCTATCTAGGCGCTATTTATCGCTACCACACGAGCTAACAGGATGTTCCTTGCCTCCTATGGTGTCTGGAAAGCAACTAGGTAATGTGACGCTTTGCGTGGCACACATTCTGCCAAGCGCCGTGAGCTCTTTGCTGTTGCCACGAGTGTCGCTTGTTCGTGTACGTTGGTGGGGTGAGGATACGCCTGGAAGCCTCTTTCGACCAAACTTGCTATCAGGAGATAGCGTTGGCAGCGTGGATATTCAGGACTCGCCTCATCGGATTATCACAATGAAATATCCTGTGACCGTTCTTTCTGAACAGCTAGTCGAATATTTCGAAGACATGGGACACTTGACTTTGGACGTGTTTGACAAAGACTCTCGAAGAAAACTAGGAGAGTGCTTGCTGCCTCTAGATCTAGCAAAAGGTAACAACGTAATTACAGCAGAAGAAAAGTTAGTGGCACTACGGAGGAACAATGTGTTGTGTGAGATCAAAGCTCGCGATGGAGAAGAAAGCGAAATTGTGGGATATTTAGCGGTAACATTTGATGTAGAATGGATGGATGATCATTCACATGTGGATAGTGATGTGAATATTGTGGATAAGGATGAGCAAGCAGACTTTGAATTGCTGACGCATCAAGTGAAGATTCGTAATCTAGACGAGACAAAGGAGAAAGTTAAAACTGATCTTAATATGATAGAGAATAGCGAACCGCAAAGTGATGTTTTGACAAAAAATAAATTTAAAGAGAGTGAAAGCGAAATCAATCGTGTGGACTCACAGCGAGTTCAAAAACTTTTAGAGAAAGGAAAAGCGCTGCAAAAGTTGATGGAAAAAGCTATCACAGTTGATTGCAATTCAGACATCAAGGTTAAAGATCTTGAACATTTTATAACATCACAGTATGCTCCGGATCATGGCATACAAGAGACGCATGTAGAATTGAATGACTTTATGTGTCCTCTCAATCAGTGGTCTGATTCTGCTGTGGATAGTGGGCATTCGTCAAGTTATCAACAGCTGAGCTTATCTGCTGACCATTCTGCTGATGCTGATGTAAGACCAATGGCGACTATGCACCCATCTAATGCGGAATTGCATGACCGTGTTATCGCACTGGTGATAACGTTTGACTCGCTGGAGCTGAATCGTGACTTTGTTGATAATCAGCTCCGTAAACTTCGTGATTCCACATCCATTTCGAGTCGCTACAGTCCTGTTCAGATAAACGTTTCGCATGACAAATTGTCGTCGCTGCTGATTGCCTCTCATGTCGCCGCAAAAAATCATGCAGAAATAGGTGCGTTTACAGTATCGACGTCGCTTCGAAAACGTTACTGGCAACTGGGATGCTCCAGTACTTTGCCCATGACATTGCCGTCTTCGCTCACTGAAGCTGATAGCGGTAACAATAAGAATTTACGATTTTACGTTCGATGCAAAGTTCAGAGCGATACCCACAGCAACAAAAAGAAACGCAAGCAGAATCGCATTCTGAAATCCCCTAAGCAAATTATACTTGAAGGTGCCGTCGATGCTTCAAAGTTGTTAGCTGTTGCCAAGCAAAGTGACAAGACTTGGGCAACAACCATTCAGCTGAACTTAAAAAGTGACAGCCAATATGCTACTAAGGGATATGACATTATAAGAAATCGACGAAATGATAGAAGTGGAATGCAACGCCTTACAAAGTTTCATTCTGCAGGCAATCTCAAAGTCGCTTTTGCCTATCACACAGATGCCGCAACTGAGCAAAAGTCGGCAAGCGAGCCAAAAAGCGATGCTGATAGTGGAATGTCATTGTCTTCCATCAGCTCCATCCAAGTCGACCAAGCAGGAGCTGTCCTCAATGACATAATTGATCCAGATTCTTCTTTCGATAAGCACCAACAACATGAAACACAGCGGAGCTTTCAAACCGAAGCGGTGGATAACGATGGTTTATATACCAACTTCTCTTTTCAGTTTGCAGTGATGCTTGAAAATGTATCAAACGTGAATAATGTGGCCTTGCGAGAATGTAATGTGCAATTAAACAATAGACGTGATCTGGTGGTAGATGACATCAGCGATGCCAGCATTTCTCTTCGTTACACGATACTAAAGATTTTTTCAAATTTGTCTTCGCACGTGATCAAATTTGAGCGGACAGTCACACGCAATCTCAAACTTTCCCGTTGGTCCAATTCAGCGTCAATTCTGAAAGCTGATTTCGGTAGAAAAACTCACATTTTTGAGTCAAGCTTTGCAAATGATTCGATTGAATACTTTCTTCATGGGCATCTGGTAACGCACGTTGTTCATGTACAGAATCGCTTGTTTGTTTCTTGACGAATTATCTAATTATTTTTGCACTTTAGATTTTTGAAGCCTGGGTACAGTTTGCTAAGAGTTCGGAGCGTAAGCTTTTAGGCCTGGCAAAGGTGCCCTTAAGACAGCTGGCTGTGCTTTTGAGGTCCGTTAGTAAGTCTAAGTGATTTGTGAGATGGTTGAAAACTGACAATTAAAATGCTTATCAAGTAAAGAAAAGGTTGACCAGCTAAGTGTATCGAAGAATTGCTTTCCTTCTATAGACATTGGTGGGGCGTTTCCAATTATTAACCCATTCACCGGTCTTTTATCCGGATATCTCCGGGCTCGAGTTTGCATTGGGACAGCAGAGCAGGTGTGTGTGGTTAGAGAGCTATTGCCTTCAATACTGACTCACTCTATTATCAGCTGCTAACATGGGTCAAGATTATTCCGAAATTGGTTAAGCTACAAGGTATGGTTCGTGGAGTATTGTCCCGGAAGCAAATTCATTGTTATACCTCTAGCACAACACTGAGACCAGATCCAATCACATCACGATCCGTAGCCATCCCTGATGAAATAAATAGATCGGACTCACAATCGACAGCTCCTACTCTTACTTCAGATATCATCAGCTTTGGGCATAGCTGTTGGAAGGAAGACGCAAGCAACAATCAATCAGAGTCGTCACTTAACAATGAGAAAGCTTGCGGAGGTGAATTTGTAACGAAAAGTAGCTTGATTCTGCGTAAAATTCGCTTTGAAGTTTGTCAAAGCTGGCGATCTGGGATGCAAAATGATAAATACAAAGACGAAGGGTGTGAAAATGGAGCCCGGACTTGCACCCCACTTCTCGGGTGCGAATTGCAAGGTCAAATTGTACTCATTGGGGACTCAGAGTATCCAGGTAATGTAATCGATCTGCCATTTGCTTTGTGGTGGGATGCAGCAGACAAAAAATTAAATTCTCATTTCAGTCACTCATTTCAAGTAAATGGCCTATTAAAAAAAGAGGTTGCATCATTAGGATCTCAAAGCCAGGTGTTGTTTGCATTGCATGTCGAAAATGGCTTTTTTGGATTGCAATCCCGTGAAACAATAACGGGCGAAGCACGATTGAATCTATACGAAGAATTGATTCAATGCACCACTAAAGGCGATAGAATTGGGCAGCATGCTGAGGTCGAAAATCATGTCAATGTGAACATCCCGATTGTTTGGGATAGAGGAGAGAGTGGCCACCGGGCGCTTCCATCTGCGATTCCCTTAACAATTTCTTATCAAATGTCAAAATCTGAAAACATGACGGCACTTACCGAATTAAATACTGATAACTTGGAAAATGCTGATGCGTTCTGCTCCACTGTTGGAGCGCGGCACCACGTCGGTGCAGATTTAAGCGATGTACGAGATGTGCGCCTAATCCCTGCCAGTCTTGTGTTATCCTTTCACTTGCTGTCAATAGAAGACTTCGAACGTTTGCTTGATGAAAATAGGCATCTACTGATCGCAAATTTATCATCAAGTACGGGCAAATCAAGTGACCACTTTTCTGATCTGCTGGATACTCAATACGACGCGCGATGTGTCTGCTTTGACACTACGATTTGCTTAGGAAATAGCCTTCATGAGATGGAAAAAAAATACCAGCAAAATGACGTTGCTAATCACGATTCAAGAATTCGTGTATATATGGAGAATGGCAAGTGGTTCAAACGTTGGCGATCACCCGACATAACAATTCCTGTGACTGGTGACAAGCGAACAAAGACATTCGAAGATGTTTTCATGCGCATTCATTTGCTTTTAAATTCAGACACAGTGGCAATTTTGCAACAAGACTGTGCTCGAGTGTCTGTGCTACTATCGTGCGAAATTTGCCGTGAGCCACATGAACTTGGGTGTGTCAGCTTTCCCTTGGCTGCAGTTCTTTATCGCCCGGACGGTGTCCGTGGCATGTTCTCAATTCGTGTACTACAAGGTATAAAAATTCACATTTATTGTCGTGCATACTTTTCCTCTAACTCACTTTGACTGTACAACTCAGTGTTTTCGGCTGCTCGAGTTGGTGTTCACTGCTTCGTTGATCATACCAACCCATTACTCACCACCATTGGTGCAAATCAAGAAACGATTTCTCCGCCCTTGATGTCCCCAACCAGTCCAGACGAAATACCGTGTGATAACGGCGATTTGTTAAATGTGAGATCGTTAAGATCATGTAAAGTAAGTGATATATCTATCTCTGATTAGTTGTACAATCATAGCAAACAAAACATGTAATTCTTGCAGGTGTGTATTGAAGAAGTTCGTAATCTGATTGTGGATGATGCTGGGACAACTTTTTGCATTTATGTTGCCTTTGAAATGACAAAACAGAGTTTAAGCGAAGCTTCAATATCTTATATGATTACTACAAAAAAAACAGATATAAAAGCTGGTCCAGACTTTAAATGGAACTATTGGGATGTTTTGGATGTGGACGATGATAATTGGCAAAGCTATTTACTTAAAGTGTCAGTCTGGCGATACAACAATTATGAATTGAATGAATATAATTCGGATGAAAGATTTGTATTTAATAAGCATGAGACTGATGTGCTTATTGGATCGGTTTCCATCGACTTGAGTCTGTTTGATCGTGGTTGGCGTGATATCGACGGATGGTATCACATTAAGAATGCACAGTATGAGACGCGGGGCCAAGTGAAGGTTCACGTGCAAAACCTTTGTGTAGAAGAGACGCAGGAAGGCTCTGACCCAATGGACAGCACTTGGAGTCCTGGGCACCTCATTGAATCATTTGGCAAGGATGACGCAGCCGAAATATTACCGACATTCGATGGTGCAATACAAGCAGTATACCAGGCATCAGTGGAAGTTAAGGAGCATCTGGCTTGTTTGCATCCGTCCGATCATAGTTCCAGTCAAACAATAGATGTCGCAAGAGTATACACGTCTGAGAATAGCTTAGCGGAATGCAATGAAAAGGACATACCAAAATTTACTGGGACAACACCATATTCTGAGCAAGACTTGGTGTTAGAAGCTAAAGACGCATCGTTTGATGGAGATGCCATAGCTGATCATTTGATTGCTGAAACAACAGACCACAGTTTTACATCCCAAGCAATGCGTGATAAGTGCAATTGGTTGAATACTGGCCAGTGCGATAATGCTGATGATGGTAAATTGTTATCTTCTCGTCAAATGGACGAAGCTACACATGTAAGTTTGGGTCAACAAACAAAGCTGATTCCGCATTTATTCGAGTCTGCGATAATAAACGAAGATGAGGTGATCGATCACAAAAGATTAGCGGATTCAGGTGGGAAAGAGGACGAAAACAGTGGAAATGCCAAGCTTCAGTCGTCTGACTCCGATTTAGCGAGTGTCAAGTGTTTTGATATCGATTGTCTTTGGCAGGTACCAGATGTGCAAGTAAAAAAAATAGACAAAATCAAAGTTGCTGTAGCCGACATTGTGTCAGACAACAATTGGGATGTCGATGTATTGTGCGAGAACGAACCTGCGCCAAGTGAGACTGATAGCATATTGGATGACGACACCGAGGGGATTCAGCACCTACTGTCTGACGTCATCTCTTCCAGCTCTAGTCACAATTCAAAGCGTCAGTATGCTGACAAAGCTGTTCAGGTCAATCCTTTGGAGTTAGGTTTTCAGATTGTAGAGATGAAGCATAGTCCCCTCCAGTCTACACCGCTGGAGGAGAATGGTACTATCGGAAATGAATTAGATGCTGAAAGTTGCTTTGGGGAGAATAAAGAAACTGCTGATGTGGGCTGCGATCCGATAGAAATTTCAAACTCTTCGAGTCTATCAATTTCTCAATTGGAAACGAAAGAAATCCCGCAAATTCTTACAATAAAACACGACCTGGAAGGCGAGTATGATAAGATTTTGACTTCTGATAATCTCAATGGTGACATTTGTGTGACTTCCAACGTGCAATCTGCGAAGAGCGACAAAAGCAAGAAGGAAAGAGAGACATGTGAAATGATTAACGTTGTGACGCCGACGTCGGCGTTGCAGAACGAAAAATTAGAACTCATGTACGAAATGTTGCGTGACGTGCGCGAATTTTTCTTAGTAGCAAAAACTGCATCTGTCGTAATACAGGACAGAGAGAATCAACAGTACCGCACTTCACTCGCTGGCTTTGGAAAAAGTAGCAGCAGAAATGATGATGCCGAGCGCTTGGAATGCCCCGGTTCTCCCATTTTAGATGATTCATCTAGAAATTCGTTTGGACCAAACGATATCGAGCCTTACCACGCTCACGAGCATAACACTGAAGTGTGTGGCGGTTGTCCTGATACACCCAATGTCCAGGTCGTAAATCATTGTCAGTTACCAGATGATAATTTTTCTGAGATGACAGATATGGAGGCCATCGAGACAATTCCGCATACTTGTGAAAAGGTCTCATTAAAAAAACAGGTTGAAATTCAAGGTGAAGAAATTATAAAAGCTACTGTCAGCGATCCACGAAATCTACAAACGTTACACAACAGAACCGTCGAGGATAGAAGTCAATGGTCTACTATTGTCAGCCCTCAGCGAGGTTTGAAACCGTGTGACCTCCCAACACGGTATAGCGAGCACAAAAGCCGACAAAAAGACGACAGATATCAATCGTCGATGCATTCATTACTATTCAAGCACGACTCAGAGACGGAGCGAATCGCTCGGATCATGCAGGGAAGCATGAAGTACTGGATGAAAGATGACGAAAGTTCAAGCAGTGACGATCAAACTGAAGAATTTGATGGGCAAGATTGCTTCTTTTAGCGATAAAATTTTACAATTACTTTTTAAGGTTAGATTTCCGCGATCCAGCTCGCCTCAGCTTTTCATAGAGTGATGCTTTAGGCTGCTTGGCATTCTGTTCAAGATACCCATTGCTGACATCGGCATCGTCACGATTGCTTGAAACAATCGAATCTGAGATAATCGTCGAGATTCCTATCTCAGGTAGCACCTTGACCTTTCCACCTCGTATCCTCTCAAGCAGCGATGTCCGCTCCAAACATTCACGATGAACAGTTTGCTGGAGCAGTGCTATCTCCTGTCAATTCACCGAATTAAGGTATGAAAAAGAGCGTGAACAATCGTTAAACGTACATGGTTTTTCTGCTTCAATTCGCCTCGAAGCTGGTCAATAACCATTTCATTATCTGGACATTGTTGATTCCCTGGGTCATGATAACTCAATTTTCTATCCTCAGTTTGATTGCTTTGCTGTTTGACATGAGATTGGAACTCGATAGCATACTGCGCTTGTAAACATTTCAAATTATGCTGCATCTTGTCAAGTCGTTCTTTGAGTGTCGTATTTTCATTCATAATTACTTGCTGTCGATTTTCTGCCTCTTGAAATAATTTATCTCTTTCCTGACGTGATTGATTCTCTAGGCGCCGTAATTTTTGCTCCACTTCTAGGCGTTGCTTGTTAACTTCCTCGACAAAGAGGCGCTATGTCCACACGTCAGTGTGATAATATTAATTATACACTACTCATACCTTATCACGTAGACTTTGATCAAGCTGATTTTGTAGTGTTTGGTTCAAGGTCTCGTGGTCCAAACCATTGCGCTTCATCTCCTATAAATTGTCAGGTGTTGAGCAAATGAGGCCAATTATGGATAATGGGTGATACGTCACGGTCATAATTACCTCAATCTCTCTCGCATTCTGCAAAGCACGATCTCTCCACTCATTCGCTCGACGCTCGGTATCTTGTAGCTAATCATCAAAAGGCATAAAAAAAATGAAAAAACATCTTTCTTCTGGTGCAGCTCACCCGATTTTCGATCGCTAAAAACGCTTCGCGTGACGTTTGTTCACGTTGACTTGCAAGCTCGACCGTCTTCTGTTTCTCAATTTCCATACGCTCATTTTGACAAAATTTTAATTCTTCAATCGCTTGCGCGTGGCCTTGTTGAAGACTATCAATTTCTTTTTCATACTTTTCTCGTGCTTTTTCTAGATCACGAATAAGGTTCTCCTTGACATTCTCGTTGTATTTCGTACTTACACTTAGTTGCCCATGCATTTGATCTGCAGCGAGACGTAAGGCAGCGATTTCGTCTTCAAGTTTTAAGGTTATATCCTTGTACCGTCCATTTTCACTCACGAGCTGCAAGCGCATCATATCGAGACTTGAAAGCTGATTTTTTAAATTAGAAATTTCCACAGAGCTCACTTCACGCTCAGAATCCCTACTTGCAACAACTTGATCACGCTCTTTGCGAAGAGCAGCAAGCTCTAGTTCCATTTGGCTTGCTTCCAGCTCAACACGCTGGCTCATAGTCTCCAGCTTTTGTTTCAAATCATCTCGCTCAGCACCATTTTGTCTTTCAATTGTTGTCCACTCAACAAATTTTGACTCAAAATCTCGTATGCGTTGCTGATTCCGACTGTGCTCTTCTTCAAAAAGTTCTTGCTGTGACTGAATTTGTGCTTTGCAATTCATTACTTGTAATGTTAACTGCGAAATCTCATTGCGGAGTTCCTGCTCAGTTAATGCGTGTGTGTTCTGGCTTGCCTCGTTGCGCTGACAAAGAAAATGAAGATCTTGACATTGAGTTTTCGACTCAAACAGCTCTTTTTGAAGTCGTAAAACTTGTTCGAGTGCCTCTTGCTTAGCACTGCAATGCGCTTTATTCTGCTCCGAAAATTGTGTGATAGTAGAACTACATGTCATCACGAGTTCAGCAAACCCGCTTTTCAACTCGATAGCCTGCTGTCGTAAATTTTGAGCAACTGAGCGCTCATGCTCTAGAAATTGAACAAAGTCCTGCATTTTCAATAAGCTGTATACTACACAAGACCGAAGATAGAACATTTGTGCCGGATACATACCCGAAATGCTTTTTTATATTGCTTGACTGTTGTCTGCAGGGTTTGAACCTCGGCAAAGATGAAATAGCTGACGCCACAGAACGTACACGCCGTGTCTTCGTCAGGAAGTTGCTGGATCTCATCGGGTAGTGCACGAATTGGGCCTGTATACAATTCCTCCAAAGTAGGGTCACGCAGTTCACTCTTTCGATCGGAATGCAAAGGCAAAAACGCCGCCATGGAACTGAAAACTATTTCGACACGAATAACTGCTCTCTCGATACAAAGCAGCAAACAATATCCAGTAAAGTATTGAGTTGGCCGAATTGATTCGCCTTCTCGCTCGTAGCTATTTCAGCAATTCGCAAGTACCATGCGCCAATCAAATGTGCGAATTCCTCTCGCGGGTGTGAAGGATATGTTCAAAGCCCCGTGAATGTGAACATCGCGCTTCGAACGTTAAGAGTCTTGATCATTACAGCAAAGAACTCTGTGACACTAAGTCAAATTTCATATGCGGGTGGCCCGTCTTTTCAGAACGTTCATCCTAGATCAATTTTCTGCTACGACGTTTAAGTATGTAATTTCTTAAGTCTTTATGCTTCCAGGCATTGTATCACTTCCTGTCTCAAATATCACGACACCTTTTGGATATTGCAACGTTCATCAATAAGTTTAGAGCCTATTCGCAATCGCTGAATCGTTTTCACCATACACCATTTCAAAGCAACTAAGATAATTATCATTGCCAAGCTTCCCTTCAAATGTCGCCGCCCCATCGCGCGCATTTGTCAAAACAGGTACTTATAATTGTACTTCTCAGGCAGAAAAGGTAGCTTGAGAAGCACTAAGGAGAGGTTGAGAGAGCCGTACTATTGAAGGCAGTAGCTTACACTGATCGTTCGAAAGGGGCGGGCATCAAAATGATAAAAGTGTACGGAATTGTATGAAGTTCTGAGCATTCGCGAACAAGAAACCTTGCTGATAAAGATGTATTTATAATGCCTTTTTTTCAAAGATGATGCTTATCTTCAAGGTAAGGATGCCTTACAGTTCAAAGAACAGTTAATCTCAACACATGTTTTTTACTACTGAGCTAACCACACAACATAATTCAATCCATAAGAAAATGAATTCACAAACAACTGCAAATGGTAAAGTATCGCTTAGTACAATCGATTGGGGTTATCAAAGTAGTCGCAAATTCCGTACTCTGTCAATTTGCATCAGATCGAAGGTCGTCGCATTTGACATGTCAAGGAGATCATATCGCTTACTAAATGTCTAAGGGCTGCAGGAAAAAGATTAATGGATTATCGACAGTACAAGAATGTGTTCGGATCCAACCAGCTTGCAAAACGCAGGTGAGCTACTGAATGCATTAGGGGTGAAAGTTAAGTATCCGAACACGCTTATGCTCTGCGCAAATAAAATTTTTGTGAATGATGTTGAGGCATTACTTATAGAATAGTCGTAGTGACTGGACTAAACATCTGCGTTCTCACCTTGTAGTGGTGTCAGGTCGACTGTGTTCAAGCGTCGCGGTTTACGTCTGAGGCTTGGATAATTTAGATCTCAGATTTGTTCTTGGGCTTCGAGATCATGCTGTTCGGCTTGAACGACCTCAAGTGCTTCACAACTGTGTAGCTACTTTGGAAAGCAGGATAGCTCAACGACAGGGAGTGGTAGAGACGTAACTTCACTGCAAAAGAGTGTTTACGTCTACTGGTTCATCGGGATTTTGGTATAGATTTCGAAAGCGTAGCTTACGTAGAACACAGGATGCGCTAACATTTTAGGGAATGCTTAGGTTATACCTATTTTATCACGGTTGTGAACAGTTCGATGTGGCGCTTTTGCACTTTGTCTTATAGACTGCAGACTTTTAGTGTGAATGCATGTTCATCGTTTTGAGAGAATTTCGCGAGTTATCGTGTGCGTTTGACTTGCCTTTGGCATTGGCGTAATATTTTGTACATGCTGGCTCTCAACCTTAGCGTCGCATATAGTGCCCATGGCACGCAATTTCATCGAGATTGCGTTACCAGCTGTAACGAGGTTACACGAACCCTAATAACAACGGTGTGTGTGTCACTCGAGATGTGCATGGTGTGACCACACCCAAACAATAATACGGTGTAGCCAGTTGTTTACATGTATTTACATTTTACTAGATATAGTATATTTAGAAAATTTGAACTTTTAAAATTAGGATAGAAAAATAAATTTGGGATTTAAACCGAAGAGTCGATTAGCCTTAAGAATGCAAAAATCACTCTTGGAGTAAGCGGATTGCGATCCGCTAACTCATACTCGGTTCTTGTAAAGAACGAAAGGTCGGTGACCTAAAGTACGCTTCCTCACGTTTTGCTACGGCAGCCCCGCTGCACTTAATATAGCACTTGTAGTCAATCCCCTAGGGCGTCTTGTAAAACAAGGCCCCGAGGCAATCAGTGCGCGTCTAGAGGCGTTTTCGAACTACGAAAACGCGCTA